ATCTAACAAATTCTAGACGTATTGGTAGAAAAATTATCACTTTAATGGACAATTTTTATAAAAAAATGAAGCCAAACGGACACCAAACTTTCAACATTTTTCAGGTAGAAAATTATACCAATTAAATACAATTAATTACAATTCCCAAGAAAACATTTTCTAGAAAAATCTTTTCCCTATAAAACATTTTCTTTTCACCCTTGCAATCAAACGAACCCTAAAATCCTGATTAAAATTTCTCCCAAATAGGCCTCAATCATGTACAAATGAGCAAACAGGTGAAAAATTGTACCTTTTGTTGGAAAGTGATAAGAGGTTTACCAGCAGCATCATACAAGACACGGCGATCATGAAGACTGAAGAACTTGCCTTTGACTCTGAACATTATGTTGCCATTTACGTCGGTAACTCCGAAACTACCTTCAGACAAAGTCATTAACTTCCTCACAATTGTAAGATCAACCGGGTAAGGAACACAGAGTTGTGGGCTTATCACGGCAATCGTGTTAGCCATAGGTGGATTAGCCATAGGTGGATATGGATAGCTTGTTCCAGCCATGATAACTCAAATTGATTCCCGAAAGAGAGTTTAGGATATTTTCTTGCTTTTGGGGTCGGGTGGGGTGACGTATCAAGATTTATTGAAGAAGGAGCGGGGGTATTATATAGATTTTTCTCTTTGTTTCTGATTTTGTAATAAGTTCAACGCGTTCTTTGATTCCACAGGGAAAGAGAGATAGATGTTGACATCCCACTTAGCCGCGTGGCATAGTCAGCATCGCGCAGGATATGCTTGGAATGGAATTTCTTGGACTTGGTCATCTTGATAACTTCACCTGATTTCTTTTGAAAAATATTAATTGCAGCAAAAGTTCCCAATATTTTCATTCTTTTGTATTTTTATTCTCAATCTATTTTTGTATAACTAGATCCACAACCTTTGATTTTTTAAAATAGAACTTCAAATCTTAACATGATATTAGAGCCCATTAAACTCCAATGAGCAATTCGATCTGATTAAGATTCATTAAAATTGAGCACACGAATTTCAAGATTGGTCTGCTCAAACGAGCCACCATCTTGCAAAGGCATGTTAAGAGATAAAATCACACATTGAATAAAGATGAAAATATAGGTCAACTTATAAAGGATTGAACTATTCATTTTAATAAGATTGACATTTTAAGATAGAACCTTAAATCTTAACATGATATCAGAGCTCATTAAACTCCCACGAGCAATTCGATTTGATTAAGATTCAAACAAAAATTGAGCACACATATTACAAAATTGGTCTGCTCAAACGAGCCACCATCTTACGAGAACATGTTAAGGGATATGATACCACATCGAATAAAGATGAAGACATAAATCAACTTCTAAATGATTGTGCTACTCCTCTTAATAAAGTTGATCTTTTAAGATGGAACCTCAATTCTTAACATGATTAATTAACATAATTCATTCAAACGGATGTAATCAATCCAATTTTCTGTTTGTCAACTAGTTTGATTAATAAATTTAAAAATTTAAAGGATAAATAGTCAATTCATTTTTTTCAAATAAAATGAAAAATTAGAAAAAAAAAAAATAAAATTAAATCACTATTAAAAAATTTAAAATATTTTTGGACATCGTATTCCAGAAATTCATGATGCCATTGCCATGGCCCAAAAATTCATCTTATTGATTAAGCTAATACGTTAAGCTCTTTTCAAGTTCGAGTTCGTATATTGCTTAAATAAAAATCTAAAATAATAATATAACCTTTCCATTTTGGGATTTTGCTATACGAATTATCGCGACATTAAAAGATTTGGAGATATTGGTTGAAATATATCTGTTCCTCCAAGATTTGGATCTTGGTTTAAGGAGATATTCTAAATTTTTGTTTTTTGCATTATGAATTTTTTTAAAAGTATTTTAGTTAAAAATATTAGAAAGATTATTTTGCCCCTTTGAATTTTTCAATATTCTAGTCAGATCTATTGAATAAACGGAAAAATAGATGAAAACCATCCATTTTGATGAATCCCGCTCATTTATCGAAAGTTGGGAATTTAGTTGTCATAGAAGGTTGGGAAAGACGGTGCATAAGAGTTGAAGGTTGAGGACGTTTGCTGAAATTTAGCCACGCCTCGCTATTATTATGCGTTCGATTTTGCTAAAAAACAATATTTTAGTAGATTTTAATAAAAGTAATTAAATGTGTGTTTGAAAAGTTGTGAATTTTGTAAAATGTGTAGTTAAAATAATTTGTTGATTTTAATTTTTTTACTAAATCAAACTCTTGCTCTACTTTTAAATCCAATTTATGAAGTTTGGTTGCAACGGGTGGACTTGTACTTTTAATAAGGGGCAACTTATAAAAATAACCTTAAAATTAATGGTCATTTGAAAAATCGTATGAAAAATATTTTGAAAATAAAAAATTCTACGCGAAATTAAATTTCGCTTTTTAATATCAATGTCACTTTTAAAAGTTAAGTGCCATTTTTTATTAAAAAGTGATATTTGTCCCTCCAAAAAGTGATAGATTTCAAGAAAGTGATAGAATTATAAAAAATGACAAAAATTCAAAAAGGTAACGAAACACCAATTAAAACATTAAAATCAATTCAATAAAGTGACTAAAAAGAAAGTAACACGTTAAAAAAAGTGACAAAATACCAATCTTACAAAAAGAAAAAAGAAAGTAACATGTTAAAAAAAGTGACAAAATACCAATTAAAACATATATTTGTCACTTTAAAAGTGAAAAAAATTTTTAAAAAATAACAGTTAATAAAAAGTGATAAAAATTTCAAAAAAGTGACAATGTAAAGTGACAAAGTCACATTTTAAAAATCAAGTGCACGTTTTATTAAAAAATTATTAAAAGTAATGCTTGTCCCTAAAAAAAAGTGACAGCAATTTTTAGAAAGTAATAGAAAAAGGAAGTAAAAAATACTATATAAAATTAAGTGACACAATGTCACCTTTTTACGTTACGTGTCACCTTCTTATATCACTTTTATTTAAAAAATGATGTTTATTACTCAAAAAAGTGACAAAAATTTCAAGAAAGTGACAAGAAAAAGTGACAAACACTAAACCAGAAGTGACAACAATTCAATAAAAGGTAACAAACACTTAAAAAAACAGAAATTCAAAAAAGTTATAAACACTAAAAAAGTGACAAAATACAAATTAGAACATTGGAATCGATTCAATAAAATAATATAAATAAAAAAAATATTGTTACAATACTCATTGTCAAGACAATTATGGCATGTTAAATTGGTTCGATTGAATAGTACTAACAATGTTCAAAAAAGAAACATTCACTTGGCATATTTATAAAGGACGAGTTATAATGTTATAAAGTTTTCATAGTGCGTAGTTTATACAAAATTTCAAGGCATACTCTATGTTTAAAAAGGAGGGTAGAGAATGCCGAAACCTTCAGTCAAGTAGTTTTCATGTACTCTAATAGAGGCTCGTACTCTTGTCAAAAGTGATTTCACTATCAATTGAACTGCTTGCAAATAGCATTACTCCTTTTAGTGGGGATGGAAGACCTTTTTCTTTAGTTTTAATAAGACTTCTTAAATTCAGATACATAGAAATTCTGTTTTGTCAAAAAATTACACGATAACTAAAATTTTACTTCACCTTTTTAGTTGCAAAATCTTAAACCCAAGAGGCTCAAGCTTACATAAAAATAAAATGTAAAAATGTTTAAAGAGAGACTACAATCCTATAATGATGCAAATCAGAAAAACAATTCCAAATGCTTCGTTCTCAAGTGCGTTTCCCCATGATTTTATAAATCACATTTCGTGTTAAGATTTGATTTTTCAATCAAAGATTCATCAATTAATTTAATTTAGACCCCATCTACAAACACATGTCTACTGATCTTCCCATTCTGACATATATTTTTTGGATAATTTCAACATATATGGGGCCATACGTTGTAAATTGAAATGTGTGGTGTGATTATTTAAATGATATTAGTCAATTAAAGTGATCCGATAAAAGTGTATTATGACTAATGGGTATTA